TAAGTTATTTTAAATTTTTATTTTTTTATTTTTTCAAAAAAATGATAATGAATATCTTACAATCAATTGTTGTTGAAGTGATCTCACTTTTATCAATAGATATAAAATGTTTAACCACACAGATTGCAAAATTGCCTGAAGCCCTATGCATGCTTCTGCCTACCCAAACTGATGTTTTAACTTGTGAAGTACCCTGTAAACCACCATTCTCAAATGCACAATCAGATTAAAAAACACAATGTGAGTATATGCCCGATGTAAACAATCTTGGACAAACCCAGAATGGCCAAGGTCAATCTCATAATGGCCAAGATTGAGCTTCCAATTCTTGCCTCGTCTTAGAAGTCTCCCAATTGCACGTTAGGTATATTGAGACCATAATTATGTGATATACACTTTTGACATGTACACTTCACTAACCATGTCATACTTTGATTATCACTTTGTAACCATGTGGTTACTTCTCAGGAGAGAAAGGAGTTAGGCAAGGGATCCCTTATCCCCATACATTTTTGTGGTATGCATGGTGGTCCATTCTCGTATGTTGAACAAAGTTGCTGAGGAAGGAAAATTTGCTTATCACCCTAAATGCAAAAATGTGCAGCTTACACACTTATGTTTTGCTGATGATCTCATGATATTCACAGAATCACAGATGGTAGCCTAGCCTCTCTAAATGCAATTGATGCTATCTTGATGCATTTCTATAAGGTTTATGGCCTGAGAGTGAACTATGCTAAGTCAGAATTGTTCTGTTGTGGGTTATCTACATCACATACCCAGTTACTTGCTGAAAAATTTGGTTTCAAGATTGGTACACTGCCAGTCAGATATTTAGGAGTACCATTGATCACAGGGAAGCTTGCAAAGAAGGATCTCAAGCCTTTAGTCTCTTAAATCACTGAGAGAATGTCCTCCTGGGCCGCTAAACATCTCTCCTTTGCTGGTAGATTACAACTAATCTCCTCGGTAATTCAAGGCATCACCAATTTTTGGTGTTTTGTTTTCATATTGCCTAAAGGGGTTATTAAAGAAGTGGAAAAGATATGTGGCGCTTTTCTTTGGAATAATGAAACTTGCAGTACTAGAGGGGCTAAGGTGAGCTGGTTGCATGTCTGTACTCCAAAACAGGAGGGGGGTCTAGGACTCCGAAACTTAGTTCAGTGGAATCACGCTTGCATTTTAAAGTTTATATGGCTGTTATTCTCAAAGGTAGGTTCTGTTTGGGTTGCTTGGGTCCAGGAAAACTTACTCAAGGGCAGAAGCTTTTGGTCCATTAACATCTCTTCTGATGCTTCTTGGGGATGGAGGAAAATTTTAAAACTAAGGCCATTAGTTAGAAGGCTAATCTAGCACATACCAGGGAATGGTCAGAATACTTATCTCTGGCACAATAATTGGCACCCTACTGGCCCACTGTTAGAAGTTTATGGAAACTCTATTGTTCATGATTCAGGGATACCTTCCCAAGCTAAACTAGCCAGTGTTATAAATGGTAGATTTTGGAATTGGCCTCCTACTAGATCTCCCCAATTGGTGGAAATCCAAATACCTCTTTTTGATATTCATCCTAGGGAGGGTGAAATTGATTCAATTATTTGGTTGACCTCCCCATTTGGATCTTTCCAAACTGGTCAGACTTGGCATTGGTTGAGAAACAAGCAGCCCAGGAAGGTATGGCATAAACTTGTTTGGTTTCCTCATGTTATCCCTAAGCATAGCTTCATAGGTTGGCTAGCCATACTTAATAGATTGACTACACAAGCTAGACAGAAGCAATGGACCCCTACCATCTCAAATACTTGTATCCTATGAAATAATAACTCAAAAACTTCCGAGCACTTGTTCTTTAAGTGCAGTTATGCTAACACAATATGGAGGCAGATTAGTACTATGATCAATATTCCCTTTGTGGACTCTTGGCAAGACTTATTACATTAGATGGGGAAAAGGGTCAGAAGAAAATCTTTGCTTAGCATTTTGATCAAACTCTCATGGAATGCCACAGTCTACAACATTTGGATGGAAAGAAACAAAAGAGTTCATCTACAGCTCTTTAGAAGTGAGAGTGCAATCCTTTATGAGATTCAATTTGAGGTTAGAGCTAGAATTCTGGAGTTTGCTCGCCCAAGGTCTTCATCACTTCCTAAGGCTATTGCAATTCAATGGAGACTTGAAACTATTGTGACAGACTAGTTTTTGGGTAATAGTAGAATGTGTACTGACTATTGTGTATTTTTCTTAGCCTCTTCTCTCTTGTAGCAGCTCATGTGCTGCTTTATGTTGTAAGTATTTCTGGATAAATAAATTCACCTTTTATCCAAAAAAAACCATGTGAATCTCTGCTTTACCATTTACGTCATATATCGATTATCACTTTGTGAAAAAACTATGTGAATACCATTCCAAAATTTACAAATACCCTTAAAGGTCCTTGTTACAAGTTCTAGAATTTGACCAAAGACTTTGTTTACTTCAAATTGAATAAATCGTTGTTAAGTATCAGAATATATATCTTAAAATTGAACATTAGAACTTCGTAGGTTAGTCAAGTTGTCAAACTTATGGCTTTGTGGGTTAATCGTGTTGCCAGACTTGGATTAGGAGGAGTTGGTTATTTTGTGCAATTACACACAAGTCAATGGATAGAGGGGTTTACCTCTAATATCAAGAGATTTATCTTTATCAATTGATTATTATTTTATAATTTGATCTAATCCAAAGTGCAAAATACTTTTTTTTAAAAATACTAAAAAGCCAAAGTAAAATGTAAATCTATACCTGATATAGCCCTTGCTTATTCTGTAATCATCTTTCACAATCTTAATCTTGTGGGGTTGTATAGTTATAATGGAACATGAAATGAAAAATGTAAATCTAATTGTATACTCCGCAAACTCAAGTAATTACACGGGCCTATGTTCGCCTTACGGCTACCATAGGAGTAGCGGTTGGTGCCACAAAGATTTGATTCACTGTTTCTATTCTCTGGCTCTCTTTTGCTGCTTTCTTCTGTGTTCAAAATATGTGATATCCCCCTTCTGCGGTGGAGCTTTATGATGAATACTTAACATCCACAAAATGAATTTGAATACCATGGCGTGAAAACTTCCGGAGATCGCTGCAACAGATCTTTAACTAGCTTGCTTGTCTCTTAAAGAAAGGTTTCTGACAGACGAGAAGTCTCTCGTTGCTGTTACCCTCAACTTCTATGACTCTTGCATCCCACTTCAGCCGTGTAGTTAGAGCTCTTGCTGATTCAATATGTGGTGCTGTGTCCCGGATAATTATCCAACCCTGCACCAACCATAGATATTAGAAGCAATGAATGTTACTTCTGTTGGATGATAATGGATATTCCTTGTGAAGGGATCATGACTCGCCCAGGCAAATTGTCAGAAAGGATGTAATAAAGGGACAGGAAAGGAGAAGGGAATAAAGAGTCTTGAGACACCATGTATCAAAGCTTTCAAGGTTCCATGTGCAAGCCCACCATGTGGAAAGAATACTCATTCCTAAAACATGAGTTGGATCTAAACTCTGAAAGATTGTTCTTTAAAGAAAAGGGTAATGTTGATAAAAAATGGAAAAGCAATGTTGGAATTTACTATTTTATCTCCACAGAAAGGGAAGATAGAAGAATGAACTAAAGTATCGCAATGCAGAACATCTGTGAAAAGCCTGTCATGAAACAGGCACCATAATTTGCACTTTTAAATGCATGAAGAGGTCTTTTTCTTTATACTTGATTTAGCAAAATTTGTGAATTACAATGACCAGAAACAAATGCCATCTTGTCTGGTCCTTGAAAATTTGAAGTTAAATCATCTGTGTTTGCAAAAATTTGAAGCAAATAATGTGGAAGAAAAACTGCTAAAAACCTCCGTTACAAAATCTAAAAAACCTATTTGTCAACCTAATTGATATTAGGGAACAACTGCAGAATGAAAATGTGCTATGGTGTATAATGTTTCAAATAATCAATATATAGCAAACAGTTGAAGCATGTTTAAAGTGGTGAGTTATTTCCTCCAATGGCCAATGATAGTTCATTTTAAGGATTAAAGACAATGCATTGTAATAATAGCTAATGAAGAATTAGGTAACTTGATTTCAGTACCTCTGGACGAAGTAAACGATCTATCTCAGCAAATAAATCAATCAGGGAGCACCTGCGACGTTGACCTGCCTCAAGGGATAAAAGCCCTTCTGCATGCACCAGATCATAAGTTCTAGGATAAGTTGGAAAAGGTTCACACCTGGAAGGGATCAAAGTTAGAAGAAAAATAAAAATTTATTATGTTAAAATTAAATTTGTAAGAATATTATTTTACAGAAAAAACCAAGAGAAACCACCTGAACTTAGATAAGAAAAGTTTTAAGTTTGTATTCAGATGTTGTGACACACACCAGAAGTTATATTTCTTATCTTCTGCAACCTGAACATCTATAATGTCCAAGTTTTAGTAATTTGCATTGTCATTGGAAGGATAAGGATGGAAAGAAACTATGATTTATATTTAAAATGCAGTTGAACCACTTACACTGAATAATTAGAAAACCTGTTTGTGTAAAATTTCAGCATTCTTTCTAAAGAGTAGGGATCCACTTACACATAAGCCTTATACATCACATTTACACAAAATCTTGATCATTCATCTCTCCACTTTTAATAATTCAGATTTATCACGATTTTTTAGATAAAAAATAATAATTATTTTCAATAAATGTGAATAAATCTCAACAATTGAAAGTGGAGAGATGAATGGTTGTGATTTTGCATCAGTGTGTTGTGAGAAACTTGTGTGTAAGTGGATCCCTACTCTTTAGAAAGAATGCCGAAATTTTACACAAACAGGTCTTCTAATTATTCAGTTTAAATGGTTCAACTGCATTTTAGATATAAATCATAGTTTCTTTCCATGGTTATCCTTCCAATGACAATGCAAATTACTAAAGCAGATTAATTTTTTGAAAAACTAATACTCCTAATATGCATGTACAGTGTGGAGAGAAATGGATTGATAGAAAATAGAATTACCAATCATGCAAGGCACCAACATAGCCTCTGTCGAGAATTAAGGGAAGGTAGTTGGATCCACTTGTTGGGACAACATTCATGACCCACAGGGACTTCCCTTCTTCCAGTAAGGCAGAATTGAAACCACCAAAGTGAGCATTCATGTCAAGCACATTTCTGAGCATGTTATAAGGTGGTGAAGGATCCTCATCACCTGGTCTTTTTGGATGATCTGAGAATATCAGTGGCGATAGAAGAGACCAATAATTACGAACAGCAGCTTTCCAGCTTTCACTGTCCTCAATAAATTCTTCTGGGTGAAGGCCTAATAAAAAACCAAAAGAATTAGAATATAAAAAAGGCAGAGGATATATTGGTTTAATTTTTCTGGCACCATGGTCCATTACGATCACATTGATTCTTACCATATACTGCCAGTTCACTCTTGTTCAAACCAGATCTAGAAGGCCAAGCTGTTCTAGCTTCAATAGGAATCCATCGATGGCTATGTGTTCCTCCTATACAGTTTTGAAGAGGTCGATAATATGGAGATTCAACGTCATGCCCTTTACTGCAAATAGAAGGACCTGAACCCCTCCTGGACAAACAAACAATTGGTTCCAATAATCATTTAGAACTACAATTTCAGCTAGTTAAAGACATCCAGTTCATATCACTCATGTCCTAAAAGTGTATATCATGTGTGGTGGATATATTATGTGAGATTAAGCAAGTACAATAAGTAGATTGTTGCCATACCGGGAACTATAGCAACTTGTTTTACTTGTCTTCTTCCACACAACAGTCTCATCCTGCTGAGACAACATCTCCCAGCAGAGATTTTCAGCAAAATCGCGAACAAAGTTCCACCTTTTCTGGCTCTCTTTGTTACGATTTAATGTCTGAGCCTTAATAAGTGGTGAAGTCCATACAAAGTATCCACCAGGCTTCAGAACTCTATCAGCTTCAATTAAGAGAATACCATCTGTAACATACAGCATAAACACAAAGATAATTTTCTACAAGTTCACAAAAAATGCAAATTGACAGAATCAGCAATTTTCTACCAGTTCACAAAAAATGCAAATTGACAGAATCAGCAATATATGTTCCAGTTTATCTAGATTAACAAAGCCTGTACTTTGGGCTAATGTGATTGATTTTTAATTACAAAATTGTCAGAAAAAGAAAAAAGATGATAACCTCCCCAAAACAACTAAAGTGAGTTTTTCTCGCAACCTCATTTCCCAAGAATATAGGCTGAATCAAAAACCTTCATTAATGAACCACAAAATGAATATGAAAGCCACAAGGAAGCACCCACCAAATAAAAGAATCATAAAAACCGATCTAAAGAAACATCTTGCTACTTGCATAAATATGAAAACAAAATTAAAAGAATATTTCAAAAAAATTTAATATCCTAAAATTTTCCCAAAATATCTTGATTTCAGTAACTTCTTTTGAAAAAATTCTATATATTAGGAAAAGGGGAAAAAAAAAAAAGGAAAAAAAGAAATTATAATAGTAGGTAAAAGCACATCATTCCAATAGAAAGAAACTTTTAACTGATACCTTTTTGGTCCCAATCAACACCACACCTTGCGCAATGCAACATGTCAAATGAAAGAGAAGGATATGGTAGTTGTTTTGACATGAAAGAACCAAGCATTGCAGGAAGGCCTCTTTCAAGAGTTAGTTGAACTTGACTGCCTGAGGACTCATAGTTTGCAATGCACATAGTTAAGAGTTGTTTGGAAAATAGATGAGCTCCATAGCTACCATAACCGCATCCAATATCCAAGATGGTTCTGACCTGCAAAAGCAGTCAGTATTTCAGACATGCTGGAAAATTAGAACATCTACTTATAATGAATCCTCAAAAGACATTTATGGCTGGAAGTGACTTGCTCTACTGGATGATTAAACAGTGATGTAGAATGTTTAGGTGACACAGAATATCCCACCTATATTGAATAAGCTAGTAAAGCTGGTATCAAGGCTTTCTAATAATTTGAAGAAAACATATTGCCAAAGTTGCAATATTGGAGACAAGAGATGACAAGCTATTATCTAATTAACAGGCTGTGGTCATTGTTGAACCATAAATTGATGGTTAAAAAAAAAAAAGGGTGAAAATTAGGAAAAGATGCCAACACAATTAACCAAACAGGAAAAATCTAGACAAAGCAAAAGAATATATGAGTAATGGGTCAGTACATGTTCAATACAACATGTGTCCCAGAAAAAAGGGAAAATATCCACTTACACCAACTTGTATGAAGTTAGATTCGTTTCTCAGTCCAATCATTTCTGCAATTTGATGTGAGTAATCCTCCATGCTGTCAAACATGAGAGAGGCTGAACGAAACGAAATCTTATCTTCCTCCTTCATCATCCTACAACCATGTGAATTAAGAAATTGAAGAAAGATTGATTTAAAAAGAGAGAGAGAGAGAGAGAGAGAGAGAAGAGAAGAAGAAGAAGAAGGATCAAAAGATTGAGAGAAATTATGAAAGTTGGCAACAAGGAAAACCTCCACTAACCTCTTGGTCAAACTGCCAGAAGAAAGCACCTCCTCAGCAGAAATTTTAACATTTGCAAACCAGATGATGTCTCTCCCAGTTGGCCACCTAAGAGGAATTTTATAGTTCACAGGAGGAAGAACTAAACAATTTTGCCTTGGCCTATTTCCACAATTTCTATCATACTCATTACCATCAGAATAACCAGCAGCAAGGTTATCTGTAACATTAAAGCAAGGAACAAAATACTCATCATCTTCAGGACAAAAGTCCAGTTCTTTCAGCTTTGAAGGACCAAGAGAAAGCTCTCCTATATCCCACAAATCAGAAACAAGCTGCTCTTGAAGTCGTCTATAACCATGAGATATGTGACCCCTTGACGATGTTGAAATGGATATTGTCCACCAAAAGGATCCAGTAAGAGCAACAATCACAATGAGAACTAAACTAAACTTCAAAAATAGCATTGCTAGTTTATGCCGGCTTCTTGGAGTTCCAATACTGAAGTGATCAGATGCAAAACCATTCTCAGTGAAACCATGTTTGGAAGCAGAATTATCCATTAAAAGAAACCGAAAAGGAAACCTGGGGACTAAATAACTCTGATCAGAAGAACGGTCTCTCTCTGAATCCTCCTTTTCTGTTCTAACATTTGTTTGAGAATCCCAAAAATCATGGTAGCTACCAGAGATCCGTGCCCCAGATGCACCTCGATGCAGAGGCCTGGACATTTTCTAGTGACCTGAAAATCCAATAAAAGGAAAAAACAAAATAATGGAAAGTTTTTTTAAGGAAGCATAAATAAAAGAATCACACTATAAGTAACTTGAATAAAGTTCTACACTTAAACCCGCTAAATTTCACGCTCAAACGAGTTAAATCCAATCACACAGCTTCCCCCAATAAAGCTCTTCTTTGCTTAAAGGGACTAAACATAAACTACTAAACATGGAAAACCCAGAGTAATCATACCCCCAAGGCAGTAAAAACACAAGATTCAGACTACGTATAGCCAAGAAAAGGAGACACCCAGTACCGTATAAGATCAAAACGAACTCAGTCCACAATCGAAGATGCCAGATCCATAAACCCAGAAAATAAGTGGACCAAAAAAAAAAAGCAAATTCAAAGAGTAAAGAAGGGGGAGAAGGAGAAGACACTTTTCAACAGTTCTGGGACTGAACCCACAAAAAGGGAAGAAATGATAATCTAGATTCGCAGAAACATTTCAATGAGTTCCGTCACCTGGAAGTAACACAAAGGGCAAGTTTATTTCCATTAAAATTTCAGTAGCCATTACTAAAATCTGAAGAAAACCCAGTAAAATATACGGAAAACCCGTTTGGATCAATCAACCGGGTACAAGAAAGATGCATCATTTTCCAATGAAATCGTATCAAATCTAAGAAACGACAGCAACCCCCACCACCCAAAAAAAAGAACCCAGAAATGCGAAACAGTTAGGAAACAAAACAGCACCTTGTTTGGAGGAGCAGAGCTGGAAATGGGGAGAGAAACGAAGAAACAGGCTGAAAATCAGCCAGAATTCATTAATGGTGTTTTGGTTTATGCTGCAAATCCCGGTTTGTTCTTCTAGTAGTAATCTTCTCTACAGCGAGAGGGTGAGGAAGGAGGATTTCGTATTGATCCAATCAGGAGAGAAAGAACCCGTGAAAGCTGAAATGAAAATCTATCACCTTTCAATATAATTTTCCCAATTCACGAATCAGAAGAACAAATTATATCAACTTCGACAAACTGAAATTTTTTGAAAGGAAAGCGTGATAAAATTATGAGATGTAATTAATGGATTCAAAGTTCTTAGAGATCCCATAATTAAGAAAAATTAGGAATTAAAAAAAAAAATCAACTAAGCTGAGCTGGGCTGAGCTTCTTCCCTCAATATACACAGCATGCTAAATAAATAATAATTAAACGCGCTAGCAATACATTGCATTATCACAGAATTCACCGGCGAAGTTTGAAGCCCAGCTTTAACTCTTAACTATTTGGCTTTGCTAATAAATCACCGTAGAACATTTAAAGAACTGTAAGGGGTGTATGATGCTTAATGGTTATTATTTGATAGTTGATAATCATTATCCCTTTTTAAATTTAAATATTAATATTTAATAAGATAAAATTTTAAATTTAAATATTAATATTTAACAAGATAAATTTTTAAATTTTAAATTAAATTTTAATTAAATAAAATACTTTAATTTATAATTATGGCTGTAATTTTTTTAAAAGTTAAGATTAATAAGTAATTTTTTCATTTTTAAAACCCTAAAACATATGTTACTATAATTAATTAAGAATATTTGGTCATCTCTTAATTTCTTTTTAAAAAAATTTATAATTAAAGAAAATGTGTTACACAAAAAATTTTGTTTATTGTTAGATCTACTTAGAATTTTGGATTTGAGAAAATTGAAAATTAACAGGCTAAGTCCAGTACGTAGACTTTGCCTTTTAAGTAATTTTCTTGAGATCATATTTGCCCTGCGTTGTGCCAGATTTTGGGGGCATTGAAGAATCTCATTTTAAAAATTATTTGTTCATAACATATTTGTAAAAACTAACAAAAATTAGTTTTTTTTATTGTTCTTTCCACTCAAATTAAACATATAAATTAATTTGTATTATTTTTTTGTCAAATGATTACTAAAATAAATTCTTACAATATAATATAATGTAAGTTTTATCAATTTTTTTATATTGGTTACACAACAGGAAGCAACTTCACTCCCATATCTTACTGCTTTAATTTTGGATTTTTTTTTTTTCAACAAAAAGATATTACAGCTTTAATTTCAAATTTTTTTATTTTCAACAAAAAAATATTACGGTTTTAATTTTATATTTTTTATTTTCAACAAAAAAATATTACTATCGAATTATTTAGATGGTTGGCCTTTTATCAACTTTTTTTATTCTAATAAAATGTGTGAATCCATATATATTCATCAATTTAATGCAACATGTACTTTATAAAATTTTCAATAAATTTTTTATTTTAAGTAGCTGTTGTAAAGATACATTGTTGATAAATACCTAACAAATCATTAATATTATATATCAAATTGGTTTCCTTGACACGGAATTTAATTCCCAACTACACGGTAAAAGATACCCATTCTTTAATTATTAGTCTAAACTTTTTTCTTGAATAATTTTTTACCATTACTGCTATAACAACAACACTTATAACTAATGATTAATGTTTTGGATGAAATAATTCACCTTTTTGGGTCTCAAAAAGGTGTTTAAAATACAAAGACAGATTTTCAACCTTAATCACGACTCCATAATCATGACCTTGAATGAATGGTGTTGTACCAGGAATTGCAAAGAAATAAACCAACTTTTGTTTTTTACTTTTTTTTTTTTTTTAAAGTAAGGATTCAAATTTCAATCTCCA